GCAGGCTCTCCCCTTTAGCACGGACTCTAGTTCTAAACCTAGCCCTGTAGACTTCGGACTGATTTTGAGTTCCATGCCTGAGCTCTAGAGCAGCTTCCAGTGCTCTTTAGTTGTGCCTGTTGTCTGCTGACAACTGTCCAAGTATTTACAGTGGTTGTGCCTTCAGGCTCGTTGCGAGGTACACTGCTTTCTACTCCTCTGTCCATCCATTCATTTCTGCCAGCAGCTCAAATTGTGCTCTATATGCTTCCCACAGTGCCTTTCCCATCGAATTCCTGTGGTTTCCTTCATACTAGATCACCCCTCTTGCTGACATTCATATCTGGAATGTGACTTCTGACAGAACTGAAGATGTCTGCATTAGGGTTTAGCTGCGGGGTCTTGAAGAGGCTTCCCGTTGTCTGAGGCTGATTAGGTCAATGGCTATCTATCAAGACAGTTAAACAGATCATAGTACCAACAAAATACCACACTCAAGTAATGAAGCTGGCTCACGAGTCGATTGTGGGAGGACACCTAGAAACAAAGAAGATAGCAGACAGAATCACCAGCAAATTCCACTGACCAGTGGTCACTGGAGGTATGGCCTGATTCTGCAGGTTATGTGACATCTGCAAAAAACAATACCTAGAGGAAAGGTAGCCAAGGTGCCACTGGGTGGGATGCTTCTCATAGAAGAGCCATTCAGTAGAGTAGCTGTGGAATTGATTATACCACTAGCAGCTGTATCTAACAAGGGCAACTGGTATGTGTTGACAATAGTCGACTATGCAACACATTACCCAGAAGCCATATAACTGCCAATAAAGATGGAGATGGAGAGAGTAACACACGCCATCCTGGAAGTGTTCTGCAGAGTCGACTTCCCAAGAGAAGTCTTGAGTGACAGCTTATCTCAGAACTTATGCAAAAGGTTTGCAGACTCATAAACACTAGGCAGCTCTTTACCACCCCATACAACCCCCAGATGTAATGGACTTTGTGAGAGAGTCAACAGAGTTTTAAAGAGTATGCTGAAGAAGATGTGCATAGAGAGACCATGCGACTGGGACAGGTACCTGCAGGCAGTATTATTTGCTTATTGAGAAGTCTCACAAACAAGTACAGGATTTTCACCCTTCGAGTTACTGTACAGAAGAACAGTACGAGGTCCAATGCAGATATTGAAAGAGCTGTGGACAGGAGAAGTGAAGAACACATACTATTACGTGTTAGACTTTAGAAACTGACTGAAGGAGGCCTTTTAACTTCCTTGAGAGAGCTTGTATGAAGCTCGAGACAGTCAGAAGCACTTCTATGACATAAAGGCCAAGGATTGATGTTTCAAGGTCAGACAAGATATCTTAGTTCTGCTACCTACAGACAACAACTAACTCAGTGTGCAGTGGAAAGAGCCTTTTGAAGTGCAGGAAGTAGTCAACAGAATGGACTATAAGGCTAAAGTGAACTGTAAGACAGAGATTTACTACGCCAATCTGTTGAAGAGATACTTCCAGAAAGAAGAAGACCTAATGAGTGCAGCTACTGAGGCACAGATTGACATGGTATAGACAAAGAACCAGAAGACATTGACTTTGTCATAGCAGATGTAGACCTGAGACCACTAGGTGGAGATGCGACATACAAAGATATCAACATCAGTGAAGATCTGACTGTCAAGTAGAAGAAAGAGCTACAAGATCTACTATATCAGTATGCAGATATCTTCACAGATGGACTAGACAAGACAGATCTTGTTCAACACAAGACCACAAATAGGAATCCCATCAGAGTAAAGCCATATGCAATGAGACACCTAATCAAGCAAGAAGTCGAGGTAATGCTAGAAGCTGGAATCATTAAGATTTCTAATTCAGACTACTTTTCACTAGTTGAAATTGTGAAGAAGAAAGATGGTTTAAATAGCTTCTGCATCGATTTCTGGAGGTTGAACCTTGAAATAATATCATAATAAAACTTGCATAATCAGGATATATAGTTTACTATGCATCGTTGGAAATCAAGGTCTACGTCATTCTAAAGTGGGTGTTAATTATTGTTATGATTTTTTTTGTTTGTTTTAAGGGAGTGTTAAATTTGGTATGGAGCAATTATTATTTTACAGTAAGTAGTCTTAGAAATGGAAGTATGCAAAAAAAAAAAGATAAATTTATCTAAATAATTACTTATTTTGTATTTATGACAAAGCCATTAAAACCATCTACTACAAAGTACTTCTACTTAAGTTCTAGCGGTTATATATTAACAACTTAACCTTGTGAAATGATCATAAGAAAGTAGTTGGAGTTGACGTGGATAAAATCACTACGAAAATGTCATCAGTTTTGTCGTCGAAGGTAATATTTGTTTCAGCATTGCTAATATAAAATTATCAGTAACTTATATTAATCTTCATTAAACTTTGGGTTAAGTTACCTGTTAACGTTACAACTTACAATGCATCAGTTATTAATAATATTAAGTAATAATATTTAACTATTGCTATTAGAAATGAACGTCCGCGATACACTTATTAAGTTATTTCACGCACTAACGTAGGTAGTACTAGTGGTAGTAGCAGCGAGACTTGAACTGTTGAATAACACGAAGTTGTGCAACTTGACTTGCCTTATATCATGGTGTCAGCAGCGTATGTGCTTATTAATTAATAGTATTAATATTAACTGTTTTAAATGGCTCCTTGAATTGAGAATATTCCTAAGTTTTAACAGGATCAGTGTTATCAGCTTATGGAATCGGTTGTCAATCGGCAGTTTAATTGTGGGATCGATTATTTACTGAAAAATGATGGGTTTAAATGTTTACTTTCTCAAGGACGGATGTGCTAGAATGGCCTTGAAGGACGAAATGGCCTCTTGATGTTGTCTCTATGTTATGTATATCGATTATAGGTTAAAGCAGGTAGTTATATTTATACAAATCACTAGTTAGTTCAAACAATGGAATATTGTATTACTATTACACAAATTTGGTTTTCTTACCTAAAAAAAGATACTGACTAACTTGAGAGCTACTAGGAGTAGGATGATTCCAGGGGTGTAAGGGTTATCTCGTAGTTATAGGAATAGTTTAAGGTTGCTTGACTTTTTATTGTTTTCTCTCTGGTGAAAACAAAGTTGCAAGAAATCATCTTAGCAGAGTTTACAACATTATTGGGGGGTAGGGGTGGAATTAATAGGACAAAGGCCAATGATTTCTTGGTGCTGTATTCTGAAGACAATAAGATGAACTAACAAGTTTAAGATTTGGAAAATACAAGCTAAGTTTTAATTTTATTTTTCTAACATGGAGATTGGCTTATGTAATGAGTTGCTGTCATTAGTAATAGAGCTGCAATTTTCAAGCTAAAATGGGTAATTGATAATTTTTATTTTAAATAAAGGGTGGATTTATGTTGTTGTCATTTTTTATCAAGGGTAAGTATGCAGGGACAACCTTAAAGGACCAAATGGTTCCTTGTTGTCTGTATTAGTGTATGTTGTGTTTATCACATGTTAAAATCCTGGTTTCTCTAGCAAACAAAATGGCTGCATATCCTTGCACATATAATAAGTAATTAGATTTATAACTTCATGGTGTTTCAGTGTAGTAATTGCACTTTTCTCCTCTATTTCTAAATTTACTGCACTATTATGATATTTCCTTCAGAGGTAATGCTTCATTATGCACCTAAATTGTAATCTGTTAAATTTGTGACAGTATTTGTTGTTTTTATCTTTCATAGTGTCATTTTTTAATATTGGCTACACATTAGCTTCTTGTCCTGCACTTTCAGATCTCTTTTTTTGTGTTTGTGTCCAAAGATTTTCTCACATCAGACTATTTTGTTATGTTTTTTTTTATTTTTTATAAAAGACAAAATCTAATACCATTGCTGCTTTTCTGCTGTTGCCATCACTTGTAGGCTCAAATGATCACCATCCTTTCTGTTGTTGAATCCCATGTACAAATACTACAGTCTAGAAATCATCTTTGGCACTTTTCACTAATAGTTCAGTATTATTTCCTGCTCCAGTCTAGTGTGTGTTTGTTTCCAAATTATAGCAACAATATTATTTTTTAGGTGTATATTACAATACAGAATATGATAATAGGCAATAATATCATTATCAATAATTTTTCTGTATGATAAGTAATCTATACAATAATTTATTAATGTTTCAATAATGTAACTTAGTAGTACTAATTACATTGTTTTCCTGTCATCTATAATATAGATCCCTGGTAATAGTATTAAACTGATGACTTAATTTGTTTTCACAATTATGTTTGTGTCAATGCTTTCAAAGGTTTTATGCTATACAGTTTCTGACATTTTTCCATTCTTTATTAGCCTATCCTGTACTCGTACTTCAGAAGTTCTTGCTCATGGAGAGTTAGAATTGGTAAGTTGTATCACACTTTTCGTTGAATATGTTCTTCTTTAGAATAAAAGAATAAATGACGTTGGTGAATTTTCCGACTATTTATGATAGTGTGAAAATAATTTTTTTTTTATGCAAGTTCTTAGATTATGATAGTATGAAAATTATTTTTATGAGTTATTTTGAAATTTATTAAATGCATAAAATGGTTATCGAACTTTGTACTTTTGGTGCATAGTTTATACTTTTCTAATTCTCTTATATACTATTCACTTTACTGGAGGGTTCCACATATGGTATCATATTGAGTAATTTTACGTTTTGTATGTTACAAAACTCGGGTAAAGACCTGACGAGAAATACGAGTCAAAATTTCAATTCCTGTTTGATGCATATTTAGTATTTGCCACAATAGAAGTATTTCTGAACTGGTGGTCCATCACATATCTGTCATCATTAAACAAATTTCTTGTTAATTCTTAGTTCAAGATGGAACGTTTCATCCATCTGAGGTGGGTGATCTACCAGGTTGTGGAATACCAAGATTGCTGTTTCAGATGCTTTTCTCTACATTATCATTCATCTGGCCACCTGTTGCTTCCTTCTTTTTTGTTCACAATGATCAAATCTTTTAGTTCAGGGTCTTTCTTTCAGGTGAGCTACAGCCCCATATGTTTTCAACTGAATCTTGATGACGTTTGCAAGGAAAATGCACTCACTGGACCTGTACTAACACTACTGTATGGATGATTGTCTCGTCTTAGTCCCACCTTATAGATGTCATCTTTTGCTGGAATCTCCCTTCTTCTTCTGTGGGGATTTTTAACGGTTTGTTTGCTAGGTAGACTCGGCCTTCTCCTTTACATTTCCAAGACATAGAGCTATTTGTCAAAGCTCTCATGTCTCCTCTTTCTGTGTGAAAGGTTCTGCCTTTCTTGGGGATTAGAGTCCATTATTCATCTGAGATGCAGCCATTTGTATTGCTTAACCCTCTTGCAATAGGTAAGTCAAAGGGCACATATAACTAACTTTTACAGTTATATTCAAATTTAGTTAAACTACTTTATTATCAATGTGTGCAAATAAACTTGGTATCAAAACATAGTAAATAAACCAAATTATAATATTATATGTTTTAAGTTTCTAATTTGATAAGAAAATAATTTCAAAAATTCTTAATCTCCCCTAATATGAGAATTGTGATATTTGTTCTTTAGGTCTTCTCTCTCCTCTAATTTATTTACCACCCCTCTCTGAAGTATTTAACTTAAATTACTCATCATAATATAGATATTACTAAGGCAAATCCTAATTTTTATAACCTTCAATCTTATTTTTTTACAGTGTCATAAACTATAAATCAAACCCACTTGCTACACCTGCTTATTACATCCTGTCTTTCACAAATTGCCAGTAATTCTCAGACATTTTATACTATAACATTGTTACGACAGCGGAGGTCACGTGACGCTGGTAACACGTCATGAACTTCTAGAAAATTCATGTCTCTTCCTGAAGCCTCGAGTGTTTACTAGATGTACGGTATTCTTGTATATAAGGCCGCCAAGAACTGATGGCAACAATGTAATTGAACTGCAGACAGAGAGAGACTGACGATTGAGTCGAGCACGTGAGTCGTTTGTTGCGTTTGTTATAGCGTGACTGTGGAAATTAAGTGTATTGCAAAGTTGTATTCAGAAAGAATAAACCAGTTTTATTTAAGAAAAGACTTGTGTCACTAAAGTTTCATCGGAAAGAAATTATACGGGAAATTAACTAACGACCAGAGACATAACAACATTTTAACCAATAGAAAGGCAAAGTATTAATATATCAAATGACATATAATGTTATTTTGTTTTCGGTACAGAGTATTCTCAATTTCATCACTTGTAATGGATGGTTTACATTTAAATAAGGTATGGGTTGGCTTGCTTGCAAGGGATATTAACTCAGTTATAAGGAAAGTCTTGAACTAGGAGTAGTTACTGGTGAGGGTTCGGATAAACAAGCAAAACAAAATTAAGATTTAGAAAAAAGTTTAGCATAGGAAATGAGTATATAAGTAGTTATAAAGGCAGGCTTAATTGTTACTATTGTAATGCTAGAAGTACAAGAAATATAATAAATGCCCTTAGAGCACTGGTAGGAATGGAGAATTTTGATATAATTGGAATAACTAAAACATGGTTAAATGTAGATGATTTTAATGACAGAAATTTTGTTGAAATACATGGTAATAGGTTATTTAATAGTGATAAATTACTAAAGAGAGTGTGGGAGTGGCTTTATATGTTAAATGCGAGTTACATCCTGTTGAAGTTGAGGATATCAAAAGTTATGGCAAGGAAATTGAATCCATTTGGATTTTTATTACTGGATATAAATGAAAAGTCTTTTAGTGGAAATGTTTTACAGATCACTAGATGATACTGATGAAATTAATGAGAAACTTTACAGTGAGATTAAGATTTCAGTTGTTAATGAGGTTATAATTATGGATGATATTAATTTCAGGCATATAGATTTGGAAATGTTAGTCAAACTATGAGAGAGAAAGGTACTTGGAAACTGTTCAAGATGGTTTTTTCACCAATTGGTCAAGGAAGCTTTTAGAAACAATATATTTTTGAATTGTTGTTAGAGTCTAATATTGAAATTGCTCAGAGGGTTGAAATTAGGGAACATCTGGGTGCAAGTGATCATTGCTCTATTAGGTTTTGCTGCAAATGGAGATCAGGATAATGGTATTTTGGTTACAAGTTTTAAAAAAGAAAATTTTGAAAGGATGCAAAAAGAATTATCTGTTGTGAATTGGGTAGCTGAGTTATTTGGAGGCAGTGATCAAATGTTGAAAATTTTGAAAGATAAATTTTTAAACATTCAAGATAAACATATTCCTTATAGAAAGAAAATAGTGGCTGAAAGTAAAAAAAAAACAGGTTGGTTCACAAAGGGTATAAGGGATAAAATTAATGAAAAGCAATGCACCACAACTTTAAGAAATTAAAATTGATGGAAAATTTAGAAGACCAAGAAAGTTGTTCAAACAGGAAATTAGTACATCAAAAAGGATGTATGGAAAACGGTTGGCTTAAAATGTAAAAATTAAGAGGAAGGATTTCTTTTGATACATTAAGGGTAAATAAGATATTAGGATTGGTGTAGGACCTTTGAGGGATGATAAAGGAAGGCTTGTATCTAATGATTATGAAGTGGCTGGGTTATTAAATTCTGCTATTTTTCTTCAGTTTTTACTAATGAAGTTTTAAGCAATATTCCTCATCTTGAACAGTTGATAGATGTAAACAAGATGATCAAATAATTTCTGAGTTTATTAAGAGATTTTGGAAAATTGAAAGAATGATAGAGCTCCTGGGACAGGTAATATTTCCATAATATTATTGAAAGAGGTTAAGGATTGGATATTTGCACCACTTTCTATTATTTTTAACAGTTGTCCAAGAGGACTAAAAACTTCCTCGACCTTAAACTCCCAAGTTGTCCAACAGTGACTGGCACACTGAAACAGACCCTTACTGAAAACAGCATCACAGTCTACTGTACACTTATCCGTGCCCACGTAATGTTGCTTCAAATCCTTGATCAAAATCATCCATAAATTCCCTAATTAGAAATTTGAAAGTTTGAACCCCCACAAAAATGGCATTTGGTCCATTTTGTTGGTTAATAAAGATTGTATTTTGTACAAGAGAAACTTTGATACAATCTGCCAAAAGGGGCTGAAAATGTTAGGTAAGGTTTGTTCTTGTGATTGGCTAATAATGCTGTTTTAGTTGATAAACGTTCTATCATGGACAAACTGCACCTCTATGCTGTTTTATGCACATGAATTCTGTGTGGAGTTCATTATGAATGGTTATGTTAGTTACATTATCATATGTTGTATTGTGTGATGTTTATATGGGCAGGCAGGAATTCACAACAAAAATGACATGAATATTTAGTGAGCTTAATTTCTAGTACAGATGCTTACAACAATATAACTAATGTGGTTGTCTCAGCTTTTTACTGACAAACCTTCAATAGGAACTAAAATGATCAAATATACAAAATCAAACTCAGAATTTTCATTGTTAGGTATCACAACTGAAACACAAGCCACATTTTGATTACACACATATAGGCCTAAGGCTAATGCTAGACCAACATGACCAATCAAGTCTAGGAAATACAGAAGACCTAGCTCCAATGAGAAAAGTGAGAAAGACCATGAATTAAACAGAGCATAATAATGATAACTGCAAAAAAAAAAAATTATGAAAGTTTTGATCAGTACAAAACAGAATAGCAATAAATAAAATAAGGCATGTTTTGCCTCTCTCTCTTGGTCAATACAAGCTACGAGTATGAAGAACAATACATATCTGTGGTGTGTTTGTGTACACATGCAGCGCCTAGGCATTGTGTGCATATTACAGTATAGTAGTATGTGTGAGAGTACCAATGCAAGTCTAGTCTTACTACAGACTGTACTTTACTGTACTCAACAGGCAGGCCAGGCTGGTTAGAATAAGAACATTGAGCTTGACTGGCCAAGATTGCTGTTCTGTTATTGACTGTTAATATCCTTAAGATACTATGTAACATTAGCCTTGTTTGGGCTTATTTTTTCCAATGCAACAAAACTTCCTGGAAAATATTGTGTCAAAAATTAGTTGAATAAAGATGCAAATTTGCCAACTAAACATTCTTGTAATTGGGTCTTTGTGCATCAATATTGTTGTAATTGGATCTTTTTTTTGAAGATTTATGTTTGTTTTTTCAACAACCAATACAGTTTTCCAGAAAACCTCTAATATAAGTCAAGTTGTCCAAAGGATAACCTGAAAATTTCCTTAAAATCAAGCCCTATTGAATAGTGAGCAGGTGCCAGAGGATTGGAAGTTGGCTAATATTACTTCTCTTTTCAAGGGAGGTGATAAAACTTGTCCCAGTAATTATAGGCCTATTAGTCTTACATCAGTTGCAGGAAAAGTCTGATAAAATATGGTTTGCAAAGTCATTTTACAAAGTTTAGGATTTTATTGGATAGTCAACATGGTTTCACTAAGAGAAATCTTGCCTTAAAAACCTTTTGACATTCTTTGAAAAGGTTACTGCTTATGTAGATGAGGGTAAAGATGTGGATTTGGTTTATCTAGATTTTCATAAAGCATTTGAAAAGGTGCCAAATAAAAGTCTTGTAAAAAAAAAAAACAAATCTCTCAAGGTGTGGGGAATAGGTTGGCTCATTGGATAGAAAACTGCTCCAGTCTTTTATAGCCCGCTCAATTACCCTTGGCAATATATGTCTCATGATACTCTCCACTTATGTTGATGCACCCTCTATCCTGGTACTGTATGTAAGCACCTCATTCAGATAACCTTATCACTTTTTCTAGACTGATACTACCCAGTCCTAACACCGGCTCTTAGTGGGGAGGAAGGGCAGGAGAGTGTCAGTAGAGGTAAGTATGATTAGAAATACATTTTCAATTTAGGAAAATGTTAGCTTCCAAAACATACATACTCCACTCCCACTTAAAACTAGAATCCCACATTGAGAAGGTGGAGGGGCCAATGAGGACAATGTCCATACAGAAAGCATCTGCATAGATCATGGGTGTACCAAGCTAAGAGTGGTAACCAAGTGGGGGAAATGCGCTACATCCACAACAGGTATGCTCTTCACCCTGAACTTAGTTCCTGTATCAAGGGTGGAAATGTACATGAGTAATTACCACTATAGGCCAGCTCCAACCAGATAGCAAGGTTCCACCTCTTGGCATTGGAATTAAGGGATATTGGTCCCTATATCCCACATCGGTGGCTAGGGCAATTGGATTGCAACATTATATATAGATATACTTTTGATTGGATCCCAACTTGTAGCCATAGTGATGCTCTCCAAACCACAGGAATCATGATGAGAAAGCAAGCAACACTGAAGTGGACAAACCCTTCTCCTCCACTTGAAGAAGCTCAAAAGACAACACCCC